CCGCCACCGTCCCGGTCGGAGCCGGCAACCGGCCCGTCTCTGAGCGCGGCACGCACCCCCCCCCCGACTCTGGAGGAGGTAAACTGTAGTTTTAGCGCGGCATCTGGCAGAAAGACCCCACTCTCCTTCGTTTTTCCACTCGCAGGGATAATAAACACTTGAAAGTGCCCAACCTCTCAGTTTACTTCCTCAAAACAAGCGTCTAAGGTCCACCAGTCTCTTGAAAAGTCAGTGGGTCAATATGGAACACATAATAGAGAACAGACTATTTATTTAGTTGTCCGATAACAAGGCCCCAGCAACAGTCCCATAAAAGAGACTATTAATGAAACTCAAGAGTCCTGGGGTGAGCCTCAAAGTTCTCCTTATAATCAAAAACCGATTTGGGAAGAGAAAGCTGAGTTAAAGAGTAATTTTCATCATGTCAAATAGTGAGCAGTGGCATACCTCTGTGCTTCACATTATGCTTTATTATAATCATTTAAAGAGTCATGAGATAGTAAAATCACTTTTCTTCAGGTTAGTCAGGACAGCAGTTAAGTTAGGGAGGAAGATGAAAGACTTCAGACTGACCCAAACAAGCTATATGATTGGGCATCTTAATGATAAGGTAAATGCAGTCCACAAATGCAAAATCATGCACAATAAAGGGAGATGGGGGGAAAAAAAACTACTCAGTTTTCAAGACTTAAATTATTCATATCCATGAAGAACAAGACCCATGGCAACCCTGCAGACAACTTGCTGTGTAGCTATGTCCATAAGCCTATCAAGATAGCATGGTGCATAAGGAAAGGGATGGAGAATAATTGTTGGAACAGTTTTAATACTTTGGATTTAATCTCTACTCAGTGGGATATTTGTATAGCTTCACCAGTGAGTTTTTATAGTGCTGGAGCATATTGCAGAAGTCACAGAATTCTGGTATGAGATTCCTGTGCTTTAAACTGTCTTAGAGAAACATTCACTAGTATATATGATTTCAAGCGAATTAACAGACAGGAATGTTTTGGACTCATATCCTTAACTATGTGATTAAGGCTTCAACTGGAGCAGTCAGAGATATCCTAAACTAGATTCTGTGGCCTTTCTGAAGTGCCTATATGAGACCTCTTATTTTACAGGTAATCACTGTTGTATGATTTTCATCATACAAAGCTATCCAAAGGAGGAAACAGAAATATTCCCTGCCAAAAAAAAAAAAAAAAATTAAGCCAAAGCTTAGCAGAATGGTTTCATTCAGTTTAGGACAGGACATGAAGATAATTTAAGTTTTTCCTATCTTAGCTGGCAACAACCACTTTACTCAAAGTATACAATCCATGCATGGTAGATAGGTAAACAGATTCAGACCTTTAATTACCTGCAATTGGCAAAATGCAAGTTATACACCAACCTTCACTTTCTGTTGCTTCCAGAAAAACAGGTGGAAAAAATAAACATTTTAAAAGCACCTTACTTCCCAAACAATTTACTTCCTCAAAACAGTCTGCATAAACAGCATTTTCCAAAGAGCCTAATGACTTGGGATTTTCTAAAAGGGATACTGCAGGAGTTAGAATTTGAATAGAGGTAGGTGAGATATACAGTCCCACCCTCCCCAATTCCACTTATATTTGCTAGCACCTTTAATACAGTGAACAGCACCAAAGTGTTTTTGTAGAGAAGTGATAGTCTATGCCAGATGGTCCTGTTAGGTATGTTAAATTTCACTGAGTTCAAGAGTTGGTTAATTGTTTCCAGTTGCTTGCTCAGTAAGCGAGAAATACGGGCTCTCCTAAAAGGAGGAGGAAGTCTTATGCTACTTGCTGTTGTACAGGGATAACCATACTATGAAGGAAAAGATGATGGAAGATTTTAGTCCACTGAGAGAAGTAGCTTAGTATGTCTCTGAAATGGTTGGGGGATATTTGCTGCTAGAGGGACAATTAAAGATTGCAAGACACATTCATCTCACAAAGCAGGGTTTTATTTTA